GCAGGTACCACCGGCCCGTCGCCAGACTAAATGAACAATGGAAAGTATATGCAGAGAAAAGTTTTTTTTAAAGTGTGACGCACCAAAACTCCCCATCGTTCTGAAAAGTGAGGTTGATGCGTTTACGTTCGGACTCGGAGAGACGTGCCCACTCGGGAGACTTGTCACTCCACGGTCCAACCCATTCTCGATCGTTTCCCCATGGATTGCGACACCGAACCAGGCGGACCTTTTTTGAGCGCAAGTCAGTAACCTGTGGGAAGAGGAGGAGAGGCATGGGGAAATACAGGAAGCACATTCCCAGGGGGGGGGGGCTATATGATCGCATAAAGCAATTAAACACAGTGACACAACATCGGAGGAGGGAGCATTTCGACGCGGTGCAGCTGAGTAGTGGGTGCGGCGAGAATAATGTACGTGCGCTTCAATACACATTTGAACGATTAGGAAATAAATCAACAAAATAGTGCTACTTAAAATCACTGAGTAGTGTTTTAAGATCGCAACAACGCCATGCGACGTACGACTCTACCGGAGCTGTTTTGGGGTAGATAAAACCTGTAAACAAGAGCGTGGAAATTATGTGGCGAGAGGAGGCATCGTTAGCAAGAACACAAGGGGACGACTGGAAGCAGTAAGTGTGAAAAGGGGAAATTGAATGACAACAAAATGACTTCTCAGAAGTTCACCGTGATAGGCGAACAATTTCAGCACAAGGCCTAATCTGGCATAACATGCGCGACCACGGACAGTTAGCGAGAACGAAGTAAGCACAAATAAGTAATAAACTTAATTGTCGATTAAGAACCACTTATGATATTAACATATATATACTGTCTGAGACTGGAAGACTGAATTCTGTGACGAAAAGTTTCAGGTTTGTGTCAAACACTCACGCCTAAATGTGTGAGTTAGCAGGCAACGGCGAATGCAGGTACTTGAGAAAGACTCTTTCCAGTACAACCAGGATGCAAGCAATTCTAGCAAGAAGGCCGAAACATGCCGAAATTATGAAAAATAGTGAACATAATGACTCGCAGCTCTGAAGGTACCGTGGGCAGAAAAAAAACAGTTAGAAAAAAAGAAAAAAAGAACATTGAAATGGTACTTTAAACAAAAGTCCTGAACATCCAGCAAAAAAGAACCTAATTAGTGGCGAAGAGAAGCAAACTGTACAGTAGCACTGTCACAGCACCCACTGCGCTCAGTGAACAAAGGAGGGTAGATCACTGGCTACCAGTACAGCCGCCGAGGTCAAACAAATTTCGCTGGAATACAATGACACATTTAAGAATGCGCACACGGGCCACTATGCCAGACTGTTCTCTTTGGACACCTTGGATGTGAAGGGCAAGCAGTATAGTCCACAGTGTGCATTTGCCAACACAACAAATGAGAGGTCAACAAAAACGCTATTAAGCGGCATCTGCGGCACCAAGATTTAAATGTGGAACCAAAATTTGACTGTCGAGCAGGCCAAAGACTGCCGGTGTTAGGGACAGTGTTAGTTTAGACAGATGAACATGACTGAAATATTAAGTTGGTTTGGCAGATTTGGTTAATTTAGTTGACCCAATTGTGAAAAAACTCGCGGCATTCTGACGTAGGAGGGAGGCCTTTTACGCAAGCCAACGCTCTACCTACTTGAGCTCCGAATGTCGCGC